TACGATCAGATACTAACAACTAATACCAAAATGTGTGTTTTTCAGCAAAAAAAACACACGAAAATTGCTGACGACTTTATTTAACTTCCTATATTTAAAGACGTACCCTTCTGACACCGCTCAATTTTAATATTCCGTTATTTTTTTTAAACAAACATTAATTAACTTCATAGTCTGTGTGGGGAAGCTTCTACCTTTGAACGTTTTAGAATTTTTCAAATTTGCTCATCATAAAATGATGATGTTTTCGTTCAAAACTGCTTGAATCCGAAATATCTTAAAAACAATAAAATATAGAACAATGGTACTCGCTTTATTTTGATTTGCGGTGGAACACTCTATCAAATTTAAAAAAATCGCAATCTTATATTTTTAACTGTTTCTGAATGACACACACACATATTTATGGGTCACTTAAACGTCGAAATTTGGGGGCCTTCAAACGAAAAATCTGGCATTTTCAGATTTGTCCTGTTGTTTTTGTCCTTAAAGCTACCTATGTACCACATTTCAGCTTTATACCTTGTCGGGAAGTACCCCAGAGGGTTTTGAGATGCAGATTAGAGTCTTTATTTTAACTGGAAGGAAACGTAGTGGACTGGAAGCCCAACCGGGATTAATTCACAAGAGGCAGGGGATTAATTGTGTATGTCTGTGGGTGTCTGTCCACGACGGAGGGGTGGGGCTGGGTGGAGAGGGGTGGGTAGGGAGGGGCTGGGTGGGGCTGGGTGGGGGGTGGGAGGGGTGGGGCTGGGTGGGGTGGGGCTGCGTGGGGAGGGGCTGGTCACCCCGTGGTGCCCTTACATGGACTGGAAGCCCAACCGGGTATTAATTCACAGGAGGCAGGGGATTATACACTGCACTTTCTGGTGCGACCTCTTTTACACTGCACTTTCTGGCGTCGTTTTAAAATTCTGCTCACTATTCATTTCGCTTTCTTTTGTGCACGACCCTAACAAGTTTGGCTTAAATATCCGTACATAATTACTTCATAATTACTTCAAAATTTCCTACCAGCCCCCTCCGCAGGAATGTGTTAGAGATCGGCGCTGTCGTGTCGCGCGTGGGCGAGTGAGGCTCTGCAGGAAGTGGTTGGCCGGGGGAGCGGCGATCTTCTTTCGCACCGTACATAGCCAACCGTGGCAATCGGAGGTGCGGTGTTGAGTCTATGGTGCAGTGTTCGGTCGATGAGCAGTGCTGAGTCTATGGGCAGTGTTCAGTCTATGGGCAGCGTTGAGTCTATGGGCAGTGTTGAGTCTATGGGCAGTGTTGAGTCTATGGGCAGCGTTGAGTCTATGGGCAGTGTTGAGTCTATGGGCAGTGTTGAGTTTATGGGCAGTGCTGAGTCTATGGGCAGCGTTGAGTCTATGGGCAGTGTTAGTCTATGGGCAGTGTTAGTCTATGGGCAGTGTTGAGTCTATGGGCAGTGTTGAGTCTATGGGCAGCGTTGAGTCTATGGGCAGCGTTGAGTATATGGGTAGTGTTGTGTCTATGGGCAGCGTTGAGTCTATGGGCAGTGTTTAGTCTATGGGCAGTGTTGAGTCTACGGGCAGCGTTGAGTCTATGGGTAGTGTTGAGTCTGTGGGCAGTGTTGAGTCTATGGGTAGTGTTGAATCTATGGGTAGTGTTGAGTCTATGGGCAGTGTTGAGTCTATGGGTAGTGTTGAGTCTATTGGCAGTGTGTACAGTAAGGGAAAAAAGTATTTGATCTCCTGCTGATTTTGTACGTTTGCCCACTGACAAAGAAATAATCAGTCTATAATTTTAATGGTAGGTTTATTAACAGTGAGAGACGAATAACAACAACAAAATCCAGAAAAACGCATGTCAAAAATGTTATAAATTGATTTGCATTTTAATGAGGGAAATAAGTATTTGACCCCTCTGCAAAACATGACTTAGTACTTGGTGGCAAAACCCTTGTTGGCAATCACAGAGGTCAGACGTTTCTTGTAGTTGGCCACCAGGTTTGCACACATCTCAGGAGGGATTTTGTCCCACTCCTCTTTGCAGATCTTCTCCAAGTCATTAAGGTGTCGAGGCTGACGTTTGGCAACTCGAACCTTCAGCTCCCTCTACAGATTTTCTATGGGATTAAGGTCTGGAGACTGGCTAGGCCACCCCAGGACCTTAATGTGCTTCTTGAGCCACTCCTTTGTTGATTTGGCCGTGTGTTTTGGGTCATTGTCATGCTGGAATACCCATCCACAACCCATTTTCAATGCCCTGGCTGAGGGAAGGAGGTTCTCATCCAAGATTTGACGGTACATGGCCCCGTCCATCGTCCCTTTGATGCGGTGAAGTTGTCCTGTCCCCTTAGCAGAAAAACACCCCCAAAGCATAATGTTTCCACCTCCATGTTTGACGATAGAGATGGTGTTGTTGGGGCCATAGGCAGCATTCCTCCTCCTCCAAACACGGCGAGTTGAGTTGATGCCAAAGAGCTCCATATTGGTCTCATCTGACCACAACACTTTCACCCAGTTGTCCTCTGAATCATTCAGATGTTCATTGGCAAACTTCAGATGGGCATATATATGTGCTTTCTTGAGCAGGGGGACCTTGCGGGCACTGCAGGATTTCAGTCCTTCACGGCGTAGTGTGTTACCAATTGTTTTTTTGGTGACTATGGTCCCAGCTGTCTTGAGATCATTGACAAGATCCTCCCGTGTAGTTCTGAGCTGATTCCTCACCGTTCTCATGATCTTAGCAACTCCACGAGGTGAGATCTTGCATGGAGCCCCAGGCCGAGGGAGATTGACAGTTCTTTTGTGTTTCTTCCATTTGCGAATAATCGCACCAACTGTTGTCACCTTTTCACAAAGCTGCTTGGCAATGGTCTTGTAGCCCATTCCAGCCTTGTGTAGGTCTACAATCTTGTCCCTGACATCCTTGGATAGCTCTTTGGTCTTGGCCTTTGTGAAGAGTTTGGAATCTTATTGATTGATTGTTTCTGTGGACAGGTGTCTTTTATACAGGTAACAAGCTGAGATTAGGAGCACTCCCTTTAAGAGTGTGCTCCTAATCTCAGCTCATTACCTGTATAAAAGACACCTGGGAGCCAGAAATCTTTCTGATTGAGAGGGGGTCAAATACTCATTTCCCTCATTAAAATGCAAATTAATTTATAACATTTTTGACATGCGTTTTTCTGGATTTTTTTGTTGTTTTTCTGTCTCTCACTGTTCAAATAAACCTACCATTAAAATGATAGACTGATCATTTCTTTGTCAGTGGGCAAACGTACAAAATCAGCAGGGGATCAAATACTTTTTTTTCCCTCACTGTATGTGTCTTGAGCTTCTTTCGCACCGTACGTGGCCAACCGTGGCAATCGGAGTTGTGGGGGGGGGGGGGGGGGGGGGGGGGGGGGGGGGGGGGGGGGGGGGGGGGGGGAAGGCAACAAACTTAAACACACAAAGCGGGTCGTGGTGACGCTGAGATTATCTCGAGGGTATTTTGTGACCCACTCTTCCACGCCGGTCGTGACGTCTATGGAAGAGGTGGGAGTCACCCACACTTTACCCCACCGCGCCACGACCTGACTGCCTTTGCCAATTGCCCGGCGTCAACGAACGCCGGTTTAATGTAAAAAAAAAAAAAAATAACTAACAACAAAAAATCGTGAGCGATGTGAATCCAACGACCGCGTGTCCGGGACGTTCTGGCTGAGATCAGCGTGGGGCCCTCTTAACGATTGTGTTAATTAATTAATCGCTGGCGTGCAATGGGGGCGGGGGGGGGGGATGGAGGAGGTCGCCGAGTTAATTGCGTAATTAAAACGTCTCGAGCTGCTCAGCGATGGACTCCGTTGCCACCCGCCGAGAGGGCGGCTCCTCGCGCCGGAGTCGACGCGCGCCGATTTCACCGTGGCAGATGCCGGTGACGGAAGCGTCCCGCGTCTCTTGAATACCGCGCCAGGTCCTACCACCATGCTCTGCGGCGTCTCGCTCTCTGTCACTCTCTCTCTCTCTCTGTCTCTCTCTGTCTCTCTCTCTCTCTCTGTCTCTCTCTATCGTCTTTCTCTGCTTCTCCACGTGTGTCTCTGTGTCTCCATCAGTTGACTCTTAAACACCACGCCAGGTCCTTCCACCATGCTCTGCGGCTTTTCTTTCTCTGTCACTCTCTCTCTCTCTCTGTCTCTCTCTGTCTCTCTCTGTCTTTCTCTGCGTCTCCACGTGTGTCTCTGTGTCTCCATCAGTTGTCTCTTAAATACAGCACCAGGTCCTTCCACCATGCTCTGCGGCGTGTCTCTCTCTGTCTCTCTCTCTCTGTCTCTCTCTGTCTCTCTCTCTGTCTCTCTCTCTGTCTTTCTCTGCGTCTCCACGTGTGTCTCTGTGTCTCCATCAGTTGTCTCTTAAACACAGCACCAGGTCCGACCACCATGCTCTATGGTGTCTCTCTCTCTCTCTCTGTCTCTCCACGTGTGTTCCTGTGTCTCAATGTGGTGTCTCTCTCTGTGTGTGTCTCTCACTGCATCTGTCTGTCTCCCTCTGTGCGTCTGCCTCTCTTTCTGCCTCCTTTAATCTCTCCCTGTCTCTTATGCAATTTGAAATTATATATTTTACTTTTTGCGATTCGCTTACCTTTGCCATACAATAATTTAGGTATTTGTGGCCAGGTCGCTTCTGAAAAAAGAACTTAAACCTCAGTATGGCTTTACCTTGTAAGATTAAAACAATAGTTTAGTTTTATTTGCATATTTTCAGTGATCTGTTTACGTTCCCTTTACGATACTTTGCACTCCGATCGTGTTTTTGTATTGGTTGTATTAATTTTTACTTTCTGACTTCCCCCCCCCCCCCCCACTGGACATCGGTGACAAAGAGCTTCACAGCTCATCGGATTTCCCAGGCTAAAATACAGATCCCCTCCTTGCATCTCTGTTTCTCCACGTAACTCCCCCCAAATCTCCCTCTCTCTCTCTCCATCTCTCACCACGTTAACCTCTCAAACTCTCTCCTCCTCCTCCTCCCTCCACCTCCTCCCGCCACCTCCAGTCCTCATCCTCCTCTTCGTCTCGGTGCGCCGCCGCAAGAAGAAGGCTCCGTCCCTGCCGGAGGACGACGACATCTGCGAGAACATCGTCCGCTACGACGAGGAGGGGGGCGGCGAAGAGGACACCGCGACCTTCGACCTCGTCACGCTCACCTACCCGCACGCCCGCCCGCTCACCTCCTCCGCGTGCAGCGGCGGCGGCGGCGGCGGCGGCGCTCACCACAACAACAACAACCACCACCACCACGGCAACAACAACAACAGCCACCACCACAACAACCACCACCACCACCACAACATCAACAACCACGACGGCGTTCGCCAGCCCAACCGCGTCCCGCTCGCCACGGCGGCGGTGGCGGCGACAACAACCGCAGCATCGACGGCGTCGAACAACCGCTACCACCACAGCCACCACAACCAGCAGCAGCACCGCCACCAGCACCACCACCTCCCGCCCACAACCACCAGCTGCAGCGGCGGCGGCACAACCGCCGCCACGGCCGCCGCCGCCGCCAATCACAGCGGCAGCAGCAACAACAACGGCGGCGGGGCCGCCGCGCCGTCCGGCGTTCGCTCGCGCGCGGGCACGTGCATGGACGAATTCATCCAGGTGCGCCTGCGGGAGGTGGACGCCGACCCGGCGGCACCACCCTACGATTCGGTGCAGGTGTACGGCTACGAGGGCAGCGGCTCGTCGGTGGCCGGCTCGCTCGGCTCGCTCAGCTCGCTCGGCTCGCTCGGCTCCGAGGCGTCGTCGCGGTCGCAGGGAGCGCCGTCGACGTCGACCGACGGCGACCAGAGCTACGACTACCTGCACGAGTGGGGGCCGCGCTTCCGCACGCTGGCGCACCTGTACGGCCACGCGGCTTCTGCTACTGCCGCCGCTGCTGCTGCCGCCGCGGCGCCTGCGACGGCGACTGCGGGAGCGGCGGCGGCAGTTGGAGCGGCATCAGCGGCAGCGGCATCAGCGGCGGCAGGATCGGGATCGGCCGTTGCGGCCGTTGGTGCTGCCGGTGCGGCGGCGGCGGCGGCGGCAGCGGTGGGAATGGCGGGGAAGAATGTGGACCGCGGAGGCGGTTAGAGGAACGAAGGGAAATGAACGAACGAGTGGAACTCTTGGAACTTTGCGGGGGACCGATCGTCGGTTGCGATCGATCGCCGCTTTTGATCGATGGGGGGGGGGGGGGGGGGGGTCAGAATCATTGGGACGATTGAGGGAGTCCAGGGGGGAGATGGATGGGGGGGGGGGGGGCGGTAAATTGCGGATTTAGCCCCCGTACGCGACGCGATCCGGTGAGCTGTCACGATGAGGATGAGGAGGGCGATGATGAGTTGATGAGTTGCGATGATTCGGGAGCCTCTGCCGCTGGCGGTGATTGCAGCGTCCCGAGTGGCTGCACGATTTCACGAGAGCCAATCGCCCTCGCGCTGTAGAGCAACGTCCGCATTGGTATGATTGTTATTTGTATTATTTATTATAATGAGCCGTGGTCTATCCACCGCTGGATTAAGGCCCCCCCCCCCCCCCGTACTTTTCCACGAGCGGTGCCACGGTCCAAATCGGCTCTCGGACGCCGCCTTTGCATCGTCAACGTCCAGCGTCCATCGCCCATCGTCTTCCCAACAGTCGATACGGCGATGTCTCTGAACGCGAGTTTGTTACCTAGTCCATTTAACGTACGGCACTGCAACCGAAAGGTCGCGAGCTTATGAAATCTGATTTGACTCGGCGAATCAATGCAATCCACCCCACACATCCCGATTGATCATTTTGATTATTAGCGGTGATCTTCATGATAACATCATGAAGTAATTATTCAGTTGGTCTAATAAAAGGGGCAAATGGGATGGAACAAAAACACACAGAAATTATAAACGCATCTATTTCTGAATCGTATTGCAACTCCGAATCGTGACAACTTATCGAATCGTTGGGGAGAGGTGGGGGATGGAGTAGGGTGTGGGGGAATGGTGGTTGCGAGGTCGTAGGCGTGTACATTATTCTTACAACCCTCGCTCGGGGTTGCCACCTTTGAAGTACAAAAAAAAACCCGGGACATATCATGGCAAGAAGATTAATGATTTCACAGTACCAGAAGAGGTGGAGACTCACAGTGAACCCAACGTCTTGATTGGCGCACTATTATCATTATTATTAGGCCATTGACAATGGGCAGAACCTACTTTTTTCATTTACGTTTCCTGGGAAGGACAAATAGATGTGTGTTTTTTTCCCCCAGTACTGCTGTCGCGAAGAAAGGGACTGTCCTGGGGAAAACCTGGACAGGTTGGCAGCCATGGTCTCGCCCTCCACGTCTCTGTCAAAAGTTGGCCCAATGGTTCCAAGCAGACACACCAATGTCTGGGCAACGTTGGCCAAACGGTCGACCAGCGTTGCCCTTACGTTGGTGCAGACGTTGTGTCAACTTTGGCCCAACGTTGGTGCGACGTTGCCCCAACGTTGGCATGTCTTTACTGGGGGCAGTATTTCCGACCATCCTCAACCGTTATTATTTGCGCTGCCATTTTTTTCCCTGGACAGATGACGGTGGTGATGATGATGCCGATGATGATGACGGTGATGATGAAATTTGTATTTACGAGAGAGAGAAAGATAATGATTCTACACATAATGGAAAAAAAAAACAATTTAACAACACAACCCCGAAGCTTGTACATAGATATTTTTGGCGACATGCCATTATTTTATTAATAGAGTTGTTATAATGATACATTCTATACATTATATATAGCAAAACAATTTTAATCGGAGTGCATTCCCATATAGGGACTTGCCCGCGCGACTATAGTATTAGACCATTGCTGGGTTCGCGAACTCACGAACCGTGAATCAATTCAGATGTTCACTCAAACTGGACATTGGGTTCCGAATAACCCCCTCTCGGTCCAGCCACGACTGCAAAACATCCACAATCCTTTTCTTCCTGCGACAAGGGCAGCGGAAAATTCCCATAACGTTTGGTTGACGAAACCCGTCGCGCTTAGAAACAGAACACCCAGGTTGATTGTTCCCCCAACGAGCTCCGCGAAAGTCATCGGCCTTGCCTCGACCCCCTATCATCAACCCTGTTTCCATGGCAACGGGCAGCGAGTCGGCATGGCGTGTACCTGTAGGACATAAAGTGGGCGTGGTATTGCCTGTAGGATAGGAAGTGGGCGTAGTGTGTTTCTGTAGATAAGGAAGTTGCAAGTTGATGAGAACTCAAGAGACCAGGATGAGCCTGAAATGCAAGAGTGAATGGGTGACTGAATGAGCACATGGTTGAGTGGATCAGTGGGTGAATGAATGATTGAACGAGTTGGTGAGATGGTTGGTGAGTGAACGTATGAGTGAGTGGGTGATTGTGATGGTGGGTTTAGATGGTTGGTGAGTGAATTAAAGTAAGGCTCAAGTTTGTTGAACTCATTTAGAATTGAATATACCAGGACGAGTCTCATCCTGCAAGAGTGAGCGGGTGAGTGAATGAGTGAGTGGGTGGGCGGGAAAAAGATTTGAGCGAGATGAGTGAGTTCAAGTTGAATTTGTTTTCCTCGGTGGGAACTCAAAAAAACAAAAGACCAGGATGAGTCTCATTTGCAAGAGCGACTTCGCTCACTGGCTTTCCAGGGGGCACACTTACTGTGGTTAAGTGATCTTCGTCCACGTTTCGTGGGGAGAGATTTAACTTCAAATAGCCCTCACTCAGGGCATGTCCACAACGCGAACCATCTGAGGCCGGCCTCTCCGCTACAGCTCAAGCAAGCTCTGAGAGTTTACAGAACAATATTGGGCACTGTGGCCAAGCCTGTGGAATGAAATCAAACGGTAACCAGCGATGAAGAGAATGACCAGGTGAACATCCATCGTTGGGCCAACGCACGATAACGTTGGACTCAATGTTTAGTTAATGTCAACCAACGTTGGCCCAACGTTGAGCCTACGTGAAGCCAAACGTCAACCTACGTTGACCGTACAACGTTGCAATGTTAGTTTTGAGTATAAATCAGAGCAAACAACAACACAAACAGCGACCCTAGAAGTCGAAATTTTTGCACAGACATCACAAATGAGTTGGGGCCATGGCCTTGTTCTTCTGGCCGTGTCAAGATGCTGGTGAAAAGAAGTCAGAACTTTTTCGAATTAAACGCAGGGGAATGTAACGGCGAAGGCGATGCAGCGGATCACGTCCCGTGGACAACAACTACCAAGCAACATTCGGAGGGACATTGACGGCACGATGATCGGCCGTGCTTCTGTGGATTAAAAGGGCCCATTTACAAACCCAACGCACGCCTCTTGTCGCCATAGGGCCTAGGCTGTGTCCTGTGATTGTCCCACGTGAATTTGAAAGTTTATGGTGTGTTCATCGTCGTTACCACCATAACCTTCATCATCAGAAATAACATCATCTAAATCAGCAGCAGTATCAGCAACGGAAGAAGCTATATCAAAGGTATTATCATCATCATCAGCAGCAGCAGTAGTAACACTGCTAACATTGCCATGATCATCTTGCCACGCATCATTGTCATCATTATCATCAACAGACGCAGCAGTGTCATCATCATCATGACAACTGCCCTCATTACAACTGCCATAATCACAACTATCATCATCATAATCACAACTGCCATCACAACAATCGTCATCATCACAACTGCCATCAACGCAAACTACCATTATCACAAATGCCATCGCAAATATCGTTATCATCACCACGACTGCCATCACAACTATCATTACAACTACCATCACAATTATAATCATCACAACTGCCATCAACGCAAACTACCATTATTACAATTTCCATCACAATTATCATCATCACCAAAACTGCCATTATCACAACTGTCATCACAAACTGCCATTATCACAACTAGCATCATCACAAACTTCCATTATCACAACTAGCATCGTCATAATTGCCATTATCTCCATCATCACCATCATCGTCATCGTTACTCCAAGGAAACATACGTTTTGATTTGAAGCTTTCGTGACTACAGGAATCCATACTCTTTGGTTCTTTCGGTAAAGTCACGTAGGTAGAAATGAAACAAAATGAATCGTGACCTTTACACTATAATACCCCCCATTAACACTACTTCGGCTACCTTTGTTCTCAAAAACGTATATAAACTCTTGCTGGTAACAGCTTCTCTTCACAAGGCAGCAAACATCGTTTCTGCTCGCAGCAGACATCGCGGCTATCGCGATTTCCACCTGACGACGATGCCTTGTGTTGCTATCGAAACGTCGTGATTTATGTAGCTCTATTTCTACCTACCTGACTTTACCAAAATGAGCAAAGAGTAAACGTACATTTGTTTATTTATTTATTAAATCCGAACTCGAGTCGATCAGCGCCGGGACACAGCCTCGGCGCGCGAAGCTCCCAGACGGACATAGGCGCAGCCCTGCAAGTGCCCGTGCCGGATAGGGGGAGGGGGACTCACCCAACTCGATGGAGCTTTAAGGTGCCCTTCGTTCTTCCGAGGGTGTTTTTGGCCTATTTTTCCACCCTGGCCGGCCGTCTTGGAAGAGGAGGTGGGAGTACAGACCTCTCGCCATGTGTTGCGAGCGGGCGCGTTGTTTATGCACACAAAGACAAAGATCCCCCCCACTCCGAATAGCCTTCAATGGACTGTTGGGGCAAGTGCTGTTAGCGAGTAGCAGCAGCACCTACGAAGGCCATACACAGGCGCACAATTCTTCCAAGAATCTCAAATTCGCTAAGGGTTCGAATGAGAATGGCGATGTTATGATTTCGATTATAACCACAGTATATATGTATCATTATGATTGTTGTTATACTACTACTACTTATCTTTATAATTAAATAGACAGCTCCGGTGCTTGTCGCACGCACACAAACGGTTCTTTGAAGAAGAAAAAATGAAAAATAATACAATTATTATCGGGATATTTATGTAACGGCTAAATAAATATTTTTCGTTGTTTCCGGGAGTTTTAGTTCCGTTGTTATTCTTCGGGTTTGTTTTTTGTTTGGAGTCAAGAGTGAAATAAAAAGGCTGTTGTTTTTATGTGTTTGGTTTTCATACGCCCCTTGCTCGAATCGTACACACGTAATAATTATTATATGAGAATAGGTTTTCCCCTTTTTTCTAGCAACAAAACAGGTGTTAAGGTGTTAAAACACCAAACTGAAACCTCTTACAAGGAATCATGTCTGCATTAACCACAACACTTGTGGTCAGAATGCAAACAAAAAACATACTCTGATAATATGTGTGGCATTGTCTTTGAAACTGATTGGTCCACACCAGAGACAGCTTTCTTTCGAGCCTCGTCTCAAACGGTGTAAGACCGCAGAGGACGCTAAAGGGCCCAGCCCTGAATAAGGGTGCCCCATGTTCAGCCTGCCCAGCCCTGAATGGGGGCCACGGGAAGATGAATATTTCTAGATGTGCGGTTCAGGGCCCCCAACCTCTGTGAGCCTGTCGCATCAGCGCCTGTTGCTGGACCCGGAATCATCAGAATCTGAATATTTATTTATCTCTGAAAAATCCGATGAGCTGTGAAGCTCTTTATTCACAGACGTCCAGTCGGGGCACGGGGTCAGAACGCCACAACAACAAATTAATCGCGATTTCGGCGCAACGTGCGACCATCGGCCCCGCCAATTGCTTCGTTGACCGAGACGAGTACCGGAATCGGTTCAGATATTCGCACGCACTCACACACTGACACACTCAATTATTAACGATATAGGTGGTAACTACCACGGTTAACTAGGCCACAACGGGGTAACTACATAACCGAGTCAGGTCAGTAACACACTGCCTGATCCACGATGCTGAATGTGACGACAGAAGCCCGAAGATCGAAGAGACGTAGCACCGACGGGTTCCATTCCAACAGACAGCCCGGATCGGCTCTCGGGACCTCCCTTTCATGCCCCATGAGCGTGGCCTGGCTCCGCCCTCGGCCACGCCCCCTCCTGGATCCTACCAGAAGGTTCTGGGCCAAACACCGCGTGTCCCTCTCGCCCCCTCTTGGCCCCTCTCATTATCCTGTCCTGGTGACGTGCCCTCACTGCACAAAGACAACGACCCCCCGTGTAGCCTCGAACGAGTTTAGGGGCAAGTGCTGCTCATACAAAGACCCCCCGTGCAGCCTGTAACAAACTATCGGGGCAAGTGCTGTTAGGGAGTAGCACCTATGAATTCCGGCAAGGTACACGAGGGGACAGGTGGCTAGCACCACGCCCGACCGCCTTTGTCTCCCCAATAGCGACGCTTAAACACGGCACCAGGTACTCATTGGAAGCTGAGTCGACCTAGGGGAGCCCCAGGACATGTTCATATAATCGTCACGGGTATTAGTGGCCGTGAGCGGGAAGCGAACCCATGTCGCCTGGTTCGTAGTGCAACGTGTTAACCACTACACCACCACTCCCTACAATGACCAACAACGACAGAAACACTCGCCATTCGCCACGAAGTAGCTGTAACGTCACAAAGGCGCTTGGGCCAGGCTAGGTGCATTTTGAGGCCACGAAAAGTGTCGAAGGCTCGCTGACGGGAGGTCACGGGACAGACCCAGGTAGTGCCGTAGGTTGACTGACTGAGATGACTGGCAGCTGCACACCACCTGTGCCCCCGACTGTGCGGTAAGTTGCTGCATTTTAGCTGCACGGTGGAAAACAAAGGCAAAGATAAAGATCCCCCGTACAGCCGTAACAGACTGTTGGAGCAAGTGCTGGTAGCGAGCACCTATGAAGGCCGGAACGGCACACAGGCTGTGGATGACCAGCACCACGCCCGGTCGCCTTTGTCTCCCTAGTTGCGATGTTTTTCACACCGCACCAGGTACTCATTTGAGGCTGAGTCGACCTAGGGGAGGCCCAGGACCGGTTCATTAGAATCGTCGCTGGTGTTGGCCGTGAGCGAGAATCGAACGCGGTTCTCCAGGCACGCAGCGCAGGGCGCTAACCGCTACACCACCGCTCGCCGCAGTGACAGACACACACGCGCACGCACGGTGACACACTCTGTGACAACACCACGGCGACACTGGCACGCGCACGCACAGCGCACGTGGTGGTGTCTTGGGGGGCAGGCGGGGGGGGGGGTGCTTCTTGTGTGACGTGCCTACGTCGCTGGCGAAGGTGCGCGCGCGTGCTGGGGAGGTGGGGGGCTAAGAGGGGGTGGGGTGGGGGGAGGGAGGTTGGGGGGAGGGACTGTGCCAAAATCAAATCGATGGCGGCTGACCGTTCCGGCCTAACAAACAATTTGTGCAGCGTAATTCCTAGAGCCATCCGGTGTGTGTGTGTGTGGTGGGGGTGGGTCAGGACGTTTAACGAGCGACTCGGTATTAATTTGAAAGGTTCACGCGGGTGAATTTGACAGTGTCATTTTAAGCCTCTTTTGTATGTGTGTGTGTGTGTCCCTGGGAAATAATTAAATGAAGGCAACGTCACACGCTTGAACGAGTAGATAATGCGAGACGATAATTATTCAACAAAAGACTACGAACCCCCCCCCCCCCATACATGAGTCCTTATTTTTAACAACGGGCGTTTTTGTTTGGGGGGAGTAGGAGGAGGAGGAGGGGGTGAAATTGTTTTATTTTGTAATGTTTTATTTGTCTTATTTCATTATTTCCCTACTACGTGACTTTACCGAAAGAAACATCTTTAGCCCTTGTTAAACACAAAGACAAAGGTCCCCCGTATAGCCTTAACGGGCTTTTTGGTGCAAGTGCTGTTCGCCATTGAACACCTACGAAGGCCGGCACGGCGCACGAGGGAGTGGGTGGCCAGCACCACGCCCGGCCGTCTTTGTCTCCCCAGCGGCGATGTTTACACACAGTAACCCTACACTAATTTGTAAGGCTGAGTCGATCTGGGGGAGGCCCAGGACCTGTTCAAATGATCGTCACCGGTGTTGGTCGTGAGCGGGAATCGAACCCCGGTCGCCAGGTTCGTAGCGCAGCTCGCTAACCGCTGCATTACCGCTCTTCAGCATACAAAAAAACAAAATAGACAAAGATCCCCCGTATAGCCTTCACAGACTCATGAACAGGTGCTGTTAGCGAGCACTTATGAAGGCCGTCTGTACGGTAAACGACGGGGTGGGTGGCCAGCACAACGCCCGTCCGCCTTTGTCTTCCTAGTGCCAATGTTAACACACCGCATCAGGTGCTCAATTGAGGCTGAGTCGATCTAGGGGAGACCCAGGACCGGTTCAGATAATCGTCACTGGTGTTGGCTCTCATCGGGGATCGAAACCGGGTGGCCAGGTTCGCGGCGTAGCGTAGCGCTAACCGCTGCACCACCGCTCCCCACAGCACACGCACGCTGTCACACAAACACCTACAAATGAATTTTCGCTTCGAGTGGGAAACTTTGTGAAGGAGTGGTGGTGGTGTTGGTGGTGTCGGCGGCGAGAGGGAGAGAGAGCGATCCAGGAGCGGGAAAGACGCGCGAGTGTGGGCGGGTGTGAACCCACCGCCTGATGCTCTAAACGCGGACCACACAGACAATTATCGGATCATTACAGTTTCTGAAACTGTATTTTTTTAATGTCTCCCTTTAAAAAAAAAAAAATGTTTATCTCACGTGTGCTTTGACACAACATTCCCTACACACCGTCCCCCCACGGCGCTCCCCGCCGACAAAAAAAGTATAAATCCGATTGAACTCAAAGCATCCAACGTGGGTGTAAAGTACGAATGTATAATTTGTCTACTTTTAGAATACACCGCATGTATTTGGCATTGAGTTGTGGCGGATGATGCCGCGTGAGATATATAGAGATGGGGTTATTTTTTTTATTTCATCAAAATAATCAACCGTAGCATTATGCACCAGCAGCAGCGTTATCGTCATCATCATCATCGTCATTATGATCCCCACTCTGAATCATTATAATCAGCATCATCATAAATGCCACAACTATGAAAAACGTCATCATCATCAGAAGCATCGTCTTAATAATCATCTTTATGACCACCACAATCTTGGCTACCGCTATTATCGCCCATCATCATCATCATCCTAACTCCATCACAACTATCGTTAGCAGGAGAGACAGCAACATTATCGCTACCATCACGACTCGCACATTCACACGAATCACACTCCTATGTCTAACTAGACCACACATATATCTAATTAAAACACACTCCTATGAAAAAATATAATTAAAGCACACTCCTATATATAATTAAACCACACTTACCACACTCCCTTCCCCAATGTAGCATACCTACTTAAATCACAATCCTATAACTAATTTAACCACAATAACCATACTACCTTTACCCAATTAAAACCACACTCCCTGTGCCCCCACCCCCCGCTATCCGCCCACCCCACCGCCTCCCCGTCCCACGTGGCTCAGCTCGGCCCGTGTACCCCCCCCTTCCCCCCGCGATGCGACAATTTGACAACCTCGGGTAATTCCACCCGGCTCCGATGGAGGGAGCGTAGCGCTGATGGAGGAAGCGTGGAGCTGATGGAGGGAGCGAGGCTCTGGTGGAGGGAGCGAGGCTCTGATGGAGGGAGCGAGGCTCTGATGGAGGGAGCGAGGCTCTGATGGAGGGAGCGAGGCTCTGGTGGAGGGAGCGTGGCTCTGATGGAGGGAGCGAGGCTCTGATGGAGGGAGCGAGGCTCTGGTGGAGGGAGCGTGGCTCTGATGGAGGGAGCGAGGCTCTGGTGGAGGGAGCGAGGCTCTGGTGGAAGGAGCGTGGCTCTGATGGAGGGAGCGTGGCTCTGATGGAGGGAGCGAGGCTCTGGTGGAGGGAGCGTGGCTCTGATGGAGGGAGCGTGGCTCTGATGGAGCGTGGCTCTGGTGGAGGGAGCGAGGCTCTGGTGGAGGGAGCGTGGCTCTGATGGAGGGAGCGAGGCTCTGGTGGAGGGAGCGAGGCTCTGGTGGAGGGAGCGTGGCTCTGATGGAGGGAGCGTGGCTCTGATGGAGCGTGGCTCTGATGGAGCGTGGCTCTGATGGAGGGAGCGAGGCTCTGGTGGAGGGAGCGAGGCTCTGATGGAGGGAGCGTGGCTCTGATGGAGGGAGCGTGGCTCT